TACGGTAGGTTTCAAACATGTGCTTTGAACTGAATACCAGTTATTTTACTTTATTGCAGATTTTACTGATACCCATTATTTATATAATACATGATTTTTTTTCAGGAGATGAGCACTGCTCCCCCAGTGAGAATTAATTAAACCAGTGGAATGGCTTAGCTCCAGATGTTGTGGATAATGCTCCATTACTGGAGGTTTTCAAAAAGAAAATGGACAGCTGTTTGTCCAGGATAATATAAGGCAGTGATGGCTAACCTTTTTGGCGCTGAGTGCCAGAAGCACGCCTGTGCACACCCATAATGCAATGCGCATGCGAGCAACCGCCCCCACCAGCGTGCGCCCGCATCTCCCGCATGCGCCCCTGACTCATGCATGCGTGGCAGACCAAAAACCAGCTGTCCAGTGAGAGGCGCGCATGCACAGCGGAGCTGAGTTGCGGTGACGGCTCGCCTGCCCACAGAGAGGGCTCTGCGTTCCACCTGTGGCACTTGTGCCATAGGTTCGCCCTCACAGGTATAGGGTCTCTTGCTTGAGTGTGGGACTACAAGATTTCCAAGGTCCCTTCCAACCCTATTACTCTAGGTTTCTTGGAAGTCCCATAATCTATCACCATGGATTCTGTTTATGCCAATTGTCTGAAACATCTTAGTCGCCCCTAGTAACGTTGGGCTGGCTCGTGTTTGGATTTCCTTATGCAGGATATTAGAAGATCATTGCATACTGAGTCTTAATCATTTTACCTGAAGACAACCTGGATAAATCATAGGTTGTTCCCCCTAAACTAAGCTTTCTCTCGCTTTATTTTAGTTCCGTGACACACTACAAAATGCTATTCTCCAATGGTTTCTTAGTTCACAAAGGGAGGCAGATAGTTGTTATTTATTTAAGTATATCTAAACCATACTTTGTGTCCATGTGAAGGCCCATAAACTGATCAAGTTCTCCTAATTAGTAATTACTAATTACCAATGCCTTTCTCTTCCATCTCATAAGCTAATATCAAATTACAGTTGACAGAGGTGAAAACAAGCATGCTCTCTTTCTTCATTTGTTCACTTTCTTCCCTTTTATTCATATAATGTGCATTGAATTAGAGCCCGCAGTGGGAGAGAATGCTTGAGCGCCGTGATCATTCTAACGGTCTGATTTATTTGGCCAAAAATAATAAATGCAAATTCAGCTCTATTGTTAAAAGTTCTTGATAAAAACGATCGCCGGTTGAGAAGTCATATTTTAATCATCTACGTTGTTGCTTATTTTTTAGATCCTGCCACGACTTTAATTTTACCCCCTGCCGTTCAGATGACGAAATCCAGGATAATCGGACACATCAGAATGGTTATAATCCCCACTGCATCTTCTTATGCCTGTTAGGGAGTATCGCATTTGATGCCACGGTCCTTCTGGATTTCTTGATTTCATCGGAAACCTGCTTCTTGGAATACTTTGTGCAATATTTAAAGCTTCTTGTAGAAGACTGGCACTGGTTCGTCCAAGTTTCCAAACGCTTTAAGTTCACCATTGGCAAAGATCTCAGAATTTGTGGGGAGAACTTGTCCTGCCAGCAAGAAGACGAACCCAACTCAAACCTCACAGGGCAGAGCACTGCATATGATCCACGGGCTTCTACGGAGGCCCTTTTGCCTTCCTCCCTGAATTTGTCTACCCTCCTTCGTCAGGGAGACAGTCAACCCCAAAAAATTGATTCTGTGACCACATCTAGTGACCCGCATTTACCGGGGGCTTTTCAGAAGCTGGTTGATTATGATAGCTCAGATGATTCTGAAGGGGACTGCGGAAGAGAAGAATGTTTGACGGACACAGAAGACAAAGCTTTAAACTACCAAGCCTGTCCAAATAAAGCAGTTCTCAACGAGAGTGCAAAAAGCTGCAAGCAAGGAGGGCTCCCTTTCATTGAGCAAGATTTGAATATTTCATCAGGCTCCAGCAGCAAACTCTCCCTTCCAGAATTTAAATTAGCAGGTGAAACTTTGCAGAAAGCAACCGCATGTTTCCAACAATTGCAAAAGTCCATTTCTAGGCTGCATGCAAAGGGACTCTTCCCATACAACCCAAATGCACTCGTGAAACTCTTGAATCAAATTCATAGAATTGGTGAAGATCCCCGAGCTGCTTCAGACTAGTCAATTTGTAAAGATATATAGTCCTCCAGGTTAAACCCATCTATTGGTTAGCATTTGAAAGGATGTTCCAGAAAATTAATAGGCTCTGAAATACGTGGCCCAAATGCGTTCTATGGGATTGAAGTATATATTGTTTATGAACTGTCTGCTTGGTTAAAAAAAACACTGTAGCTTCAAATCCCTTGATCCGTTTAACTTCAAAAGGGGGTTATAATCTTGTCTGTGCTATGTGTGAATTCTACCCCCCCCCCCAGTTTTTTTTTTAAGGCAATAAATTCTGAATTTTATTTTTGGCACCTTCCTTTGTCAGATAATTTTGATATGAAGGATATATGTTCTCAGTGAGAATTAATTGCTGCTTTTTAAAAGAGAATGCAATAAGATTTTTCTGATACAGATACAGATTAACAGTGTTGGAAGGGATCTTATATAGGTCATCTAGTCCAATCTCCCGCTCAAGCAGGAGACACTACACCATTTCTGACAAATGGCAGTCTTGAAAGTCTTAAGTGATGAAGCCCCCACAATGTCCAAAGGCAACTACTATTCCATTGGTTGATTGTTCTCACTGTCAGAAAGTTTCTCCTCATTTCTAGGTTGAATCTCTCCTTGGT